ATTTGACCCAAAGCATTGACGTGTATTATATACCTGACATATATAGATTCTAAAATCTTCAATCTATTCTGTGTCTTGTTCACGTCCATTTTCCGATAGAATTACAATAACCATGATCTATTCAACTTTTTGGATATAGCTATCCATGGATAATTAATTTTGATTTGAAAAAATATATTTCATAGTTATAGTCCACAAAATTATACCATATTAATAATGTCAAAGGTAGCTACAAATTTCGTAAATCAGTATAACTTAACTCCTCAGATGAGTATCACTGAGCTTGGTAATTATGCTGAAAAAATATGTAAAGAATTAAAAGATTATAAAGCTCGTGATCACGCTTGAAATAGAATCCGGAAGTTAGGATTTAGTAAAGATCAAACATATACTTTAATTCCTATCCAGATTTCCAGGAGGCGTGTTACAGAATGAGATCTGATTGAAAAGCTCACTCAATATATTAAGAAAAATGAAGATAATCTTGAACCTGAAGAGATAAATATGCTAGCATATAACTTAGCCAAAACAGCTCCTACTGTAATAGCTCAATCTTCACGTCTTAAATTGCTTTGAAAAAAATTGCGTATACTTAATGCTAAATATCTTACAATAGAAGTAATATATATATCAGATATTACTCGAAAATCAAATAAAGAACAAGCGATAAATCAGGAACTTCGTGAAGATGAGGGATTAAATTATCCCAAATTTTTTTATCTTGCAAATGTTCAGGAAAGACTTAAGGGTTGTAATATTACCAATTCCCCTACAATGCAAAATTTAATGGATGTAATGATAATATTATCTATGAGGCCAGCAGATGTTGCAAATCTTCATATTGATTACTATAAACTATCTAATGCTGATGACCTTTTAAGGTCATCCCTTTGGGCCTGGTATGATCCTAAATATTCTTGGTACTGCACTAGATATGTGAAAAATACAAAAGACAAACCTAGACTATTAGTATCTATAGAGAAAGATCTACTACGGGCCAGGGAATTACTCATTTAGATCCAGAAAGCAATTCTGGTGAAATTTTCATTTCTAATAAGAGATAAAGATAGTGATGTAAATGTTCACCTGATTAATAATTTTCTAGCTATTTATGGAATAAGCTCATCATATTTGAGAAAAATCAGATCTGATCATGCTATTGATATTCATAGAGATGAGAATGATTCTAAACGTAAATATATCCGTTAATTAGTATTAAGATACAAGGTAATTATTATTGCATCAGATCATTATGGTGTGATGAATAATAGATGAAATATTCTAACGACTAGAGAAAAAAATACTGAGATATCAGATATTATAGACCTATATAATTACTAATCACGCTTCTTCACTTTTACTACGCTCATAGTAAAATCTTTATCATCATTATATCATTCAGAGATAGACCCATATTCAGATGAAGACGAGGATGAGGAATCAGATGCAGTATCATTTAAAAATCTCTTTTTTCTTTTAGCCTTAGATGGTGTACGATTTCTTTGAGAAATATCTGGATTTGCTATTAAGTTAATAATCTTTAGCCCAATCTCGAGTTTCACTATTTCCATTAATTGGTGAAGAGAAATTGAAATTCTTCTATGTGATATCTGTTTAATAATATCAGATACCGCTTTATCAATAATATATGCCTTGATACTAGCTTCACTATTGGGTAAACTTTTATCTTTTTCAAAACCCAATTTTTTCGCAACCTCATAAGTGATAATTGGACATTCTGAACCCAAATCACAAACTACTTCTGTATCCCTATCATTGATCAATATTGATAATTTTTTTACTGATTCTATTAGTGATGCGATTTCATTATTATTCTCTTATAAATTCTGATGAACCAGTCCAATATTGCTATTATCTTCAGTCATTATAAATGCAAAATTATTATTTATTAATACGAATTTAAAAATGCAGAATTAAATATATTGTTATAATAAAACATCACGATGAGAATTTTATCTTGCAAAATTAATAAAGTACCAGTTAAAAACTATATTAGATTCTGGTGCTAATTGTAATATTATAGGCAAAAGTATAGCAAAAATAGTAGGCTTGAAAATTGATAATACATCTGATACAGAAATATACAGTCTCATTAGCGAGCTCAATATATTGGGAATAATTCATACAATGGAAATTTCGGTCCTGTTTCAAGATTGGAAATGGAAGTAAGTAAAAGTTACCGATATTTTCATTACCAATAAATCCGAACTTGAATCTGTACTGATATTGGGTCAGCCATGATTCCAGGAAAATGCAATAAAAGTGGACTTTCCAAATAAAACTCTTACATTCTTCGATGAAACTAGTTATGAGGTTAAGTATAATTGAGAATATCTGGAAAATCCATAGTATATATGTCTAAAATTAATTATTCGAACATTAGCTGTTTTTTTCGATTAAAGATATATAATATATAATTTAAAAATAGCGCAACTATTGCGAAGTAATGATGATGCAAAGCATCGAATCTCCGATTCCCCAAAGGGTCTGGCATGTAAGTGCCCTCACTTTGTGAGAAATATTTTTGATTTACCCAAATTACTAGAACAGATCTTATATTTTTTAGAAATCGATCAATCCCTCTATCCCACTTTGTTTATTAATCGGTTTTGGTATCACTGTGATGCTCCTATTCTATGGCATCACATTGAGTTTATCAATGAAGATTATCAGAGAGGTCTGTATGGTCAAAAGAAATCTCAGACTATTTATTGGCGATTATTGAAATTTAAAAAAGTTATGTGTGGAAAGACAAAACCTCTCTATTGTTCAACGATGTTATATCTCAGATTAGAAGGTTTAAAAATCTCTGATGCATTGATTAGTACAATTTTACGCTCGTGTCCAGACATATGTACTCTTATTCTTGACAAAAGTAAGGGTTTCACTAATATACCAATTATAGAAATTGCAAGATATTGTCCAAAGCTATTATACCTGAGTCTTAATTCATGTATATGTCTCACTAATCGATGTATCACTAAAATATCATGTTCTTGTCCAAAACTTAAACATCTTGAGTTTGGCGATTATTCGATTAGTAATAAAGCTCTTGAGGAAATAGCCCGCAACTATAATAATTTGAAATATCTTAGTTTGGAGGGATGTAAAGAGATTAGTGAAGAAGTGATAAAGAAACTTAATTCAAAAATTAAAATTAAACATCCAGTTTATTCTGATGATGAATTCTCAGATTCTGATCTACCTCCACTTATTTCAGATTATTCCAATGATGAATTCTTCGTTTCTGATTTACCTCCACTTATTCCAATCTTTACTGATCAACGAAATGGGATAGCTATAATCAGGACCTTTAGAGACTACTATTTGAGTCATATATCAGATGAAACAGATTTTATTTCTGCAATTATTAATCATTTAAGAGAGAATCCTCCAACGTGGGTTACAAATAATTTTATTTAGCAGTGGAGAATAGTTAATTATTTACTAAGTTATTTTTTTGTGGTAATATACATTATTAAATATACTTAACATGTTCGTTGATACTATTGTTGAAGGAAAAATTCCAGTAAAAGCAAGCATTAATCGATACAACATCTAAATCTAATACTATTAGCAAGCGCTTGTATAATAAGCTTGAAGAAGATTATGGGTTAGAAGGTATATCCGGTGATAATTTGATAGGCAAAGAAATAAAATGCTTAGATTTGCAATTTCAGTATAAAGAAAAGTGACAAAGCTTAGATGGTACTGAAGTAATAGATTTTCAAATTCGCAAAAATCTATCATTTGATTTGGTGCTAGGATGGGATTGGTTATGGATGCGCGAAGCAAAAATTAGCTTTGGATTTTCTCTGGAAAATTATAAGCGCTGTGCTAAAATTGAGATAGATGATATGAGTATCCCATTAATCGAAGAAGATAGCAGACCTACAGGTGACTCTTCGAGCCATAAAGCCAGCTCCACTAAAAATAACTTATCTATTGCAGAGCAATGGGACTTTGTTCCTAAATCAACGGAATCTAAACCTGGTCTAGCTCAAGAGGAGGTTATAAATATAATTAACAAAATTCTCTCAGATGCTCAAGATATTAAATACCAAAAGAGCCATCGCAGAATATTTCACAATATATCTCCTGCACCTCTAATATCCAGAAGATTAAATGATGATGTTTCCAAAAATAGTGGAGCTGGTAAGATTAAGAAATATCCTAAAATAGATTTAAGTGATGGGGGTGAAAAGCTTTCAATAAAAACACACCTTAATAATATTTGGAAGTTGGTTCATTCTATAGAAAATGATATAGAGTATGGAGTTTTTGAAAAACTTCGTATTATTGAGTATGAACTAAGTTGTATAAATAAAGCAAAGCTACCATGGATAAAATCTGAGACAGATCCTTCTAAATCATCCAGCTCTGATTCAGAATTCATGGATTCAGACTGGTATGATCTCGATCAGATAAATCTCCGAAAGAAGAGGCAGAGCCTTGAATCTCCAATTCATCATGTTCATGTTAAAAAGAAAAAGGTTATTTCTTCTATCCAAAAATATCATAAAAATAAGCTTCGTAATAGGGCCTATTCTCCAGAGTAGTGATCTATCTAATCAGAATAATTAAAAACTGCTAACAGTCAGAAATTTATCAACCAATCACATCACGAGTAGGATCGATATAAAAGTATTTTGGAGAAATGTCACTCCATGTCTCATGGAACATGTCAAATAAAAAGCCCGTGATCTCATATTTATCCTACATGATTATTGCTCTACGCTTTCACTGTTACTATTTGGATTGAATTTTGATAGGTCTCATAGTATTGCAGACGATAAGTTCTTGTATTGACATAATCACCACTACCCCATTCACCTTTTATATTATCTCTTATATTTTCTTTTTTATGGTCTTTATTGCATATAGAACATATCTCTAAATAAGTAAAGTAATCACTATATTCAGTTTGAGCAAAGAGAAAAAATATAATGATTTATGAATAGCTACGCATATAATCGATTTTATTCCACATGATGCTAAGTTATTATATAAAGATTTTTCTATCAATAAGCTCTCTAAATTTATATATCTTCTTAGGAATAGTGACTTCTGGATTCTTATCATACCATATCTCAAGAAGATAAATTCCGTTAAGTTGACACAAGATTCTTTTCTTTCGATCATGGTTAACAATATTCTCGAGTTTTTTAACATCTTTATACCAGCTGGTATTATGGAGCTGATGTTGAGCCCCTTGAATCTCTAACGTAATTTTATTGCTTCGGAAGAAGGCATCAAGTTCTAATCCTTCCATAAAAGATGACCAATATTCAACCATAAGTTCCTTATTAAGAAGTATCTGGGCTATTAGAATACATTTTTCCTGAAATTTACGATTTTTCTTAGATTCTAATTCTTTTTTAAGTTCATCTATATTCTGTTCTAATTTCACAACTCTAGCTCTAAGTTCAGTATTCTCGGCAATAGTATCTGTCCTATTTTTTTCCAACTCATCAATTCTACTCTTGAGTTTGGTATTCTCTTCCATAGCCTGTCTTTCATATTTTTTATGTAAAGCATAGATCTATTCAAATTTCGATTTATGAGTTAGTACACAGATATCCATGCAATAAAGTATATATAGATATCGCCATATAATCTTTCTATTATTCTGATATATATTATACACCCACATTCATGTATACAAGAGTTAAAAAACACAAGCCTTAAACGTGGACAAACTTTGAAAACTTAAAAAAATCAATCATGACTATACATAAGTACATTATCAGCTTTCTGTAATCTCAGCATCGCATTTTTTATCAACCGTGATTGAATAGTGATTAAACTGTGATCGCATAGTCAAGATTAATTTTTCTTTCTCAGCCTCAACCTCAGCAAACTTCCTTCTAAGTTTGGGAATCTTAGCATTATCTTTCTAAACTTAGTAATCTCAGCTATAAATTTAGAATTCTGTTCTAATAAATCGATTTTAGACTGTATATTTACATTATTTTATACAAGATGCAGATATGTTTACATGAAAATCTTTATTTAACCAGATATATTTACATTTTAAAACTGATATAACTCATGATAATTTCTGCTATATAATTACAACTCATCTGGAAGAGGATCCTTGGCCTTTAAACCTCATTATGCTCTTCTCAAGTCTAAAGAAAAAAATAATCGATTTTATCAGACAAAGTTCGTGCACACTGCATTAATATCATTTTTATCTCAGGTATACGTCAACATCGCGTAGTGAAATACCTACTGATATGTTCTCTCCTACAATCAGTAGATGACGGCGAAACTCGAACCTGATTGGCTTTTAGCTTGTCGAGTTTAATTATGTGGTTTAATCTATTTTTGTATTGTTCAAGTCTTGTCAAGAAATTGTAGGAACAATTGATCTATTCACATTCCGCTCAATTCCATTCTCAAGACCGAAGAAAAATCACGTATATTATGGAAGAAGATACTGTGGACAAAATAAATGACGCTATGTCGAATATCACTCGTGATTGGAAGATTACGATATAACAAGAAATGCGATGAGAATGCCACAAGCTGTCCTGGTCTTAACGGAATTATGATCTGAAGCTGTGGAAAACAAAGTTCACCTCTCTCGAAATCACCCAATGCGACCAAGCAACATAAGGAATTTGATTTGTCATTCTCATCCCAGTGGTAATCACTAATCATGTTAAAATTGATTGTGATCATGAGAAAAATATTGAACAGTTGAGATCCAAACGGCCCCCATTTTAATTTGGATAGTTTCTCATATAATCCCGCATAATTATATTAAATAAAATCATTGACGCAATCTGATAACGGCTTTAGAGAGTGAAGGAGATCATTAACACATTCACGATGATTGGCATTATGGGAGCTTGCGGTGTTTGAGCTAGTGAAAGGAAGAAGATTATTTCACGTGTATACTTCAAAGTATTCAATGAAGTTCATCCAAAATTCATTGCTACGATATGATGGGTTATTTAGTATATGAAGATAGTAGTGATTGACAGTATTTACAGCTTCTGTGATCGCAGATGGATTATCTAACTTTTCAAGATGTAATAAGATTCTATTTCTACTATTAATGATACACTCTGATTCCACTACATATCAAAATCACATGAGTCTTTTCAGTGATCGAAAATCGCTACGTGCTGATATAATTAATTGCATTCTCCTTTTTCGGTTGATATTCGTGGTTGAAAAATTTACGTTATTTTGCAAGTCTAGAATATGTCTAAGTTTTTTCTACTTATGTTTAAGATATTGTCGTATCTCTCTTCGCTTTATTGGCTCTTTGAAATCCAACTATCATCCAAAAGCAACTCACAAGTGATTGTCATTATCACTAATAGATGGTAAGTTTGCATCTATTTTGTCCATCTCACTAATTATATCTACATCGACCAATGTGAGAAAGTTTAAAGGAATCTCAGATAAATCAGGATCATCGTTATTAATTTTTGCCTCTCGGATTAAGGTTTTGACAAGTAAATCTCGAGTGAAAACATCTTGTCGAGTCTTGTTTTTTTTAGATGACACACAATCTTTGAAATTGATAGGAACACTCATCCATTCCCTTTTAAGGTAATAGACTTTATCATGTATGCATAATTCTCTGGTTCCATATTGGGTTCAGTGCTAGTATTACCGATAAAAAATGTTAATGATAACCAAGCAAATGGCAAAGTAAAAGCCCAATATTCTATTTTTAGGTTTTAGATTACTTAGGATTGCATATTTTGCGGAGTGGACCAATTACCCTTGCCAAAGTACTGAGTCATCATCTCTACTTGAAGTATGACGATTATGATCCTGTTGAATTCCACAACTTGCCAAAGCAAACTCATGATAAGTAACTTAGGTAATTCTCCTATCAGCACAAAAATCCAACCCTCAAATCTAAAGATTCATAAGAATTCATAAAAATAAATATACCCTCAACGGATTGAATACAATATCAAGATTAGTGAAAGAGTTAGTTACTACATCTTCTAGTACGTGAAGATATTCATTTTGTTTATATCCGTGTTCATGTTCCCACTTAAGCCTTTTATTTTACCATTTATAGGCCTCTCGCGATAATTTTTTCATAGCTGATATTTCCTCCAACGTAGCTTCTTCTTTCCGCTTATTGGTCAGGTTACTGTATCCATTATAAAAGTTAGTGGTGGGATAAAGATTTGCAGTATATTAACTAATAACCGGAGAAATCAAAAGCAATACTATTCGATGAGCCATCTCATGAAGTAAGGAGCCAATGTCCTACTCAAGACGAATAGTATATACTTTTGCGAAAAGAATGTGAGAATGTAATCAGTAAGGGTATGTATATGACGGTTACCCAATAATCTCCTGCTAATTTCTGGTATGATCCATCCAATCAGAGGCATGAAGTGCTTTGCAGAGTAAATAATTAAAAAACTGGAAAATTATTAACCAATCAGACCACGTCGGAATTGACATAGAAGTTCACAGAACATACATAGCCAAGCGATAGAAAGATAGCTGGTTTATTGATAATACATCATTTTATATTTAGATCATTACATAATTTATTTCAGGAATGTACAACTCGATACTCAATCATGTTCTATGCACCACATTAAGAGCGAAGCTCATACCAAGGCATAGAAAAATCAACGTATAAACTTTTTTACCCTAATACAAGACATACCGCATGAAAATATTAACATAATATATAATATTCTCAACTCGAATTCTTTATTAGCAAAGCCATGACTGATACAATAAAAATACATGTTAATTTATACAATATCTCCATACTTACCTATTATTGGGTGGAAACCTAATGGTAGAGGGGTCCACTGTTTTTTTTAATACCCGGATCAGTAAGATCTTGTTATGGTGATCATGGCATTACTAACTCACTATCATAAAGGGGCATGTCTTCTTGAGCTTGTGATGAACAAAAAGCTATATTATATAAGGACATATCGACTTTTTCTATAATCTTAGTAAGGGTGTGAATATGATTTCATAGAGACGCCTACAAATAATTCCATTAATTAACTAGGAGTTTGTTTATCCAACTTCTCACATTCAATAGCCTTACCCTTAACTTCCATAATTCATCCATAAATCCGGCAAGTGAAGATTGGCCTCGATTCATAGGAATTTGCACTGAACCAAGACATTGAACAAAGTAAAAGGCTCCAAATGGCATAGTCATAACCCAACATGCCATGGTTCCTTCTAAAGTAGAAATGGTTAGTTTTGAGTGAAAAAAAAATAATTGTGATATTACATACCAGCAACTTGGATACCAAAAACTGGCACTCTGTTAAGATCTTCTTCTATTTCTTTTACATCCCCAACCCTTCCTCTAGTGAGTTTCCTCAGTAATCACACATAAGCATCTTTCATAAGCTTGATCAACTTATCCCAATCATCACAGATCTTTTTATTGATTGGAAGAATACGTGAGGCCTCCATAAGACAGATTTCCACTTCACCGGCAATCAGTAGAGATTTCACACGAAAATCGGGCTTGTATCCATTCTGATTTCTTCAGAATCATCCATCTGACGTTAAGATATCTCTGAGACTTCTTCGGCCCTATTATGATGTATGTAAAACTTGTTATAGTCATTATGTGACCACCTCTGGTAAAAATTCATATTTTACACATTATCTAAAACTTTACCAGATGATTTTAAGTTTGGTATTTTTGTAGCAAAACAGTAGATCAAGAAAGTTGGACACTATGCAGATGATATATGTCCTCTCAGTGTATTCAGCCTTGTTTTCATCGTTAAAGTAGCACCAGATATGTCAGCTATAAGAATAAGAGTATTAGAAATTGGTTAATTATCAAGACAGAGAAGCTCAATTACCTACACTGAGTCTATGATCCTATGCATCACACATATGTTTTCAAACTCCTCATCGTTTCCTTGGAAATCCGCTGGTATAGGTAGAAGTGAAACCATTATTTTCCTTTTATTCAAGCTCTTTGATTTTTCTAAAAGGACTTTAACCAAGTCAGAAATAATGGGGCTTGTTTCATATTGATCATATACCAAATTTATAATTTTTCTCAAATTCTTCTTTTGTTCTTCTGGCAACTTTTCAAAAATTATGTCTGAGTTTCGATCAATAATATAACCAAAACTGAGTGAATCGTTCTATTCAATATTGCTGACATCGAAGGATTCAAAGAGGTCCCTTAACTCATATAATAGCAACGAACGGGATGTCTCATTTCGGATTAAATCATTCTACAAAAGTATTGAGTAAGAACAAGCAAAAAAAAATCATAAATTCCATAATACGAATACATTACCAATTGTTTTCCAATTTTTTTCTTGTTTGAAAAGACAAGATTCTCCTCTATTAGGCTTATGAATTTAAGAGAAACCTGAAACGTATAAAATATATTAGTGTCAGTAATAAGTTTTTCTAAAACAGAATTATAGTAGTTCAGTTAACCATTAATTTTATAGCCTCTACTGTTGATATATATTGCGTTCTTTGCTTGTTCTATAAAAATAGAGAAGTCAATATACGAAAATTCTATATTCTGCTTATTATTCAACACTCTTATTTAATCAGATCTCTGATTTCTTCATACATCATGAATGACCATCAGGACTCAAATCTCAGATGTGAGGAGGTGGTGTAAAATTAATTCTCAGAATAGATAGAATATCATCATATAAAATACTATAAACGGGATAAAAAACAATACATACATCAGGAACCTTGGAAAATCCTTCATAAGCATCTCGTAGAATGCTACTAGATTTGGCAGAATGACGTAAAGCTTTCTCGCAAGTCAGCTTATATATTTGAAACATATTGCTCATAGAATCATATCACCCGCTATTTGCATTAATTATATAACCAAATCATGAAGCGAAGCATACTTTTCTGACTTTGTCACAATTATTCTCCAAATATTCAATACCGAAATCCTTCCAACCGAGATATTTATAATCCTGCTCTATTTCTGTACGAAGTTTAGCAAATATGAAATTGGGATAAAAATAATTATAAATGAAGACAAAACTATACTCTCCTTCTAAAAGCATCTGCATTTTTTTCTTTCTGAAAGTGTTCTTTACAAAGAAAATATTCAAATCTGGTTTTTTGTATTAGTCAGAAGGTTATACGATTACATCATGCATGAAAAGTTCCATGACTTTCAATTTTATTCTGTGATATAACATGTGATGTGTTGATCGAACATCTGTGTTATGCAATCAATCAGTACTCCAACAATTAGCAAGTCACGCATTAACTCTAGCAAAAGTGATTGGCAAATCTGAGAAATACTTTTTGGTATTTCCATTATTAAAGAACGCAGATCGAAGATGAGTCTATTATAAAAAGAAATTAATTAGATTAGTTAAAAGATCAATTGATTTATAATAATTGTTAAAGTTGGTGATACGAGTAACAGACATCTAATTGTTAATGTTAATAAGGTAAGAGTAGACAATTATTGATCTAATTGGCAGGTAAAGCATGGGGGTACCTATGACTCTTATTTGAAAAAATGTACCTGAGTCATCCCTATAGGTCTGCTTTGTAATAAAAAGTTCTGGCAATTTCTGGTCCTTTCCCATCCAAGTCTATAAATAAATTCTGATTTATAATTTTTTTATATAAAAAGGCGAAGAAAAAATATCTGAGACCCCTTTACTCCTTCATTATAATAATTAGCGATTTTGGAGAATAAAACATTTAACAATTTTTAGCACTTTGCTTGCTCTGCTAATAAATCTTACCCATGATAAATAAAAAGATTCATACACTTGAAATAATATCTAATTTCTAATGATTAAGGTTTATTTATTTGTTTATATGCTATGACACTCCCCTGTATTCGTGTATGTATGCTAATATGACCAATTTCTACTTATAGATGACATTACTTACTATTTCGGGAATCGCTCCATTTTTGGATTTTGCAGGCCTATCAATATTCGTTGAGAAAATCTCTATTACTTACTCATTGATGCCATATTTTATTTTTTATGTATCACCAAGAAAGATATCGACATCAAGCATAATTCTGACCCTTCTGCACGTGATATGATATTTAATGAAATTCTTGCCAATCGTGATATCAAATTTAACGCTGAACTCACCTCACGCGATAAAAACTTTACAGCAGAGATCTAAAGAATCTTGACTAGAGATGGGAGCTGCAACTAGCCACAACTCTGTCGCAATTCTCTGATTGGCTACCGCAAGCCGCAATTAGTTAAGGAGTCATCTTTAATCTTGACAATACTTAATACTTCTACTGTGAGACTTGATGAGATTGAATAAGTTCTTCAAAACTACCATAACAATTTTGGCAGAGTTGCAACCGAATTCGAATCGATCAATACCTCTATCGTAACTCTTCAAAGTAAAATAAATCAACATTATGCGATGATTCTAAGAACTGAAGAAATTAAATTCGATCAATAAAGCATAATGAGTCAAGCTTCTGATCATTCCACAGATCAAGCTTCAAATTATTCTGCAGGTCAAGCTTCAAATCATTCCTTTGCAAGCTCGGAACAATTAACGTTCACGGATATCAGTTTGACCATCTGGAATCAATTTAAACAAATTTTTAATCAGATCATAACTGAAAATAATTATACTTTGGAGGAGATGTGTTTTTCTGTAGCTATAGACATTCGTTTATTGGGAGAAAATATTAAGAAGGCGACAGTACAAGGGTTTTATGAGAGAAATATTAAAAAGAAGAATGGTTATATTAGTACTTTAGATCAAATTGGTTTATGGATTGATAGTAA